CAAAAAATTCCTTTGAAAATGTAACTAAAATCATCAAAATACGGAATGTCGGGGGGTACCGTTGTATGGGGGATATACGATATCGTGGAACGATATAACTCATCTTCGAAGTAGACCTGCCTGTAGACAATAGACTGATCTGAGCAAAATTTAAACTTCCTATCCTAATTCATTTTGACTCTAGCGTGATACAACAGGCGGACAGACGAATGGAGGGACAGGGTTAATCGGCTTATAATTTTACGTTGATCAGGAATTATATTATTAGCTAGGTCTAAAATCATTGTTTCGATGAGTTACAAACGGAATGACGAACTTAAAGGCTTTAGGTTCGAGGAAATAAAAAACATTGCAAAATATTTCTTAGTGCAGACGTATTATTATTATTTTCATTATTTTTATACCCTCCACCACACTATGGAGGGTATATTAATTTTGTCATTCCGTTTGTAACTCTTCGAAATACTCATGTCAGACCCAACAAAGTATATATATTCTTGATCAGCAATTTAGCCATGTCCGTCTGTCTGTCTGTGTGTCTGTCTGCCCGTCTGTCTGTCTGTCTGTTGTAATCACGCTATCTGTCGAACAAATTGAGATAGAAGGCTAAAATTTTGCACACATGTATATTTTGCCAGTAGGCAGGTTAAGTTCGTAAACGGGCCATGTAGGTCCAAGTTATCATATAGCCCCATATAACGGTACCTCCCGATATTCGGTATTTTGATGATTTTAACGACATTATTTACCGGGATTGTTTGAAATTTCGCATGTGAAGTTCGAAATGGATACTTCAGGCCATGCCAGAAAATTGTCTGTGCAGGTCCACGTCTTCGTATAGCCCCCATACAACGCTATATTTAGCTACATTATAAACTGATTTTTCTTCAAGTTTCGCATTTAAATATTGTAATAATCTATGACGAAAGTTGCCTATGCAGGTCTACGTCGTCGTATAGGCATTCGGTATTTTTAAGATTTTAACAGAATTTTTAACGGATTTTATTTTATTTTTTAAGCCCACGATTTGATATAACACTCATATGAATGCATCATTTGATTTCAGCTATTTCCGGGGTCTTGATCAATTGATTTGGCCCTTATTTGGCATATTGGTTTCTAATCTTCTTCGTAAAAAAATTGTCAATATATGTCAAGATTTCGGTATAGGTAATTTAACTAATTCAAGGGTCTTAACAATATTTTCAATCGATTTCGCTAAAAATTTGTATTTAGGCTACTTTGGGTGTAGAGATCCATCTTACAGAAAATGTTCAACATAGGTATAATCCCAACCTAACGCTACCCCCAAGTCCACGATCCCAACCAATATTCTCTGGGGTGGAAGTGGGTCAGAATATCAAAATTCCAAAATGGGTTTTTAATTCCCAAGTTACTTTTCGTACACTATATAGCATGCACTTTCAAAAACAGCCATTATCTAACCCACAGTGACCCTTGTAGCAAAATTCATAAGGCCAACTCTGTTCTTACATTTTTTTATCAAATTCGTTACCATTTAACACTTTACGCTCTCCACAGGGTGACATAAAAAAACTGCAACCAACTTCAGACTGCTGTCATTTCTAAGCCATTCGTCCGACCTGTTAAAATTAATCCAGTGACTGCTCATTATATTGTTTACTAGTGTACAAAAGCATGTTGGTAAGAATTTTCCAGAAAAAAAGTTATTCGTGATGGAATTCAAGCGTGATAGTGTAAAAACCACAAGTGGCTATCGTTAGAGCACTCCAGCATTTAGCAGCTGGTAGCGTAGCCCGACGTCAAGGAAGTGGACGGAAGAAAACAGCAACATCAACTGGAATGGTTCGAAAAGTAAAGAAGCGACTTCTTAATAATATGATTCATCCATCCAAAGTATTAATATGGAACATTTCTGATTTCTCACATTTCAATGTTTTTTTTTTTTTTTTTTTTTTTGCAAATCACTGTTGCTGTTATTTATTCCAAAAATTGTGTCATATTCTAATCTTTCAAAATAAACTCTGTACTTTTGATAACTTTATCCGTTGCCATAGTAAACTCTTGCCTCTGACGCCTCAATACCATCAAATAGCGCAAAAAAATACAATAAAAATAATTCAATTTTATCTCCTCAGTTGAGTGTTTATATATTTTGAGTATGATTGAATTCATAAATATTCAGGGTATCTGTCTCATTAAATTACTTGAAGCTCATTTCAAAACAAAAAAAAATAATTAGTTGCTGACAGTGGAATTCTATAACAGAAATAGCAAGCAGGGATGGAAAAGTGGAAATATTGCAGGACGAAAAAAAGATAAATAATTGAAAAATTGAAAATGTTTACATTTGACACAATTTATCAAAATACCGAATATCTGGAGATACAATTATATAGGGTCTATACCAAAACTTGGACCCATGTGTAAATTCTCTGCAAGGATGTTTCACACATACTAGGAACACGAACTGCTAATTTACAGAAAATTCAGTTTGAAAGTTGCTGACTAAAACACCTAAAAAAAACCTTAAATCTGCAGGTACAGTTATATGGGAGCCTATATCAAAACGTTGACCATATACCATTTTCAATACCAAAAGTCCGTCAGTCTTGACATCGACTAACCAATAAAATTCTAAAATTTTGAATCATCTAAAATCTTTTAACAAAATTGGGAGTTGCCTTATTTGTATCGAACGATGAATGGGCCCTCACACTTCCACCTCTGATCATCATATGAGAATGTTCGATTCATAGAAATAATAATACCACCAGTAAGATTCAACGTAAATACATCGTGGTTTCTTTTTTATCTTATCAACATAGAGAACAAAACTGAAGATAACATTTAATTTTATTTACTTGTGATAAAATCAATACTATATATGAAATGATTTCAATTTCACAAAACTATGAAAACAAGAGCAGAAAAAAATCACAATAATAACTGCCCTTATAAATAGAAAGTGAGTAGAAAAAAGGCCAACAATAATCACTCAGATGATATTCTATTAAAAGGGACAAAAATAACGCCATGCATAATTGCTAGCATTAGCTTTAGCTGATATTAGTCTGACGAGCTTGTTTGAGGTTGGAGGGTCGTTTATTGGAGGTAAGGTTTGTTCGAATAGTTGATAGAAAAGGGCATTGATTTTGGAAATTTATTCAAATTGGTTATATCGAAAATTAGTAATAATGAGTTTAATAACCAATTAACAACATATGTGTTCAATAGCTTCTTAATAAAAATAACCTATTTATTAATATGTACTGAGAGAATTTTATCTGTCACATTTAAATATTGTAAATAGTTATAGAACAACATTTAGCAAAATATATCAAGAATATTATGGTGAATATTTTTCATTTGATTTTATAAAACAATGTTGAATATTTATTATCTGAAATAATATTTACATTTGGCCTGCAATTTTTCAAAATTTTCACATCGATCCCAACACAGCTGATTTTTAATCAGCTGATGAATCTGTAAACTCTCATTAACTTACCTAAAAAAAATTATTGTCCATCTAAAGTCCTGGACTTTTGAGTTATCGAACACAACAATTTAGTTACTGGATGCTGTTCGATAATTCCGAAATCCGAACGAGTATAAAGTTCTTACTGAAAAAGTTGGATCAGTTTCAATCATCAATTCGATGAGACCATTTTTATACCCTCCACCATACTTAGTATGCGTATATTAAGTTTATCATTTAAATGTTCAGCACGGCTGAACGTAACTCCTTTTTTATACCCTCCATCAAAGATAGTATAAAGGGAATATTAGGTTCGGCATTCCGATTTTAACCCATCGAAATAATAATAATAATAATTTTAGACCCTTGATCAGCGTAAAATTCTAAGACTATTTAGACCTGCCCGTCAGTCCGTATGTTGTAATCACAGTCCAAACGAATTAATAACGGAAGCTAAAATTTTGCACAGGTCTGTCTGTTGTCTGCAGGCAGGTCTAGTTCGAAGATGGGCTATATCGGTATCGATATCGTATAGCACCCATATAATGATATATTTGATGATTTTAGCCACAAAAGGAGTTCCTTGTGAGTACTTTACCCCCTGAAAGAGAATTGTCTATAAATGTCCACGATATCGTATATCCCCCATATAATGGCACCTCTAGATATTTAGTATTTTGATGATTTTAGCCACATTTTTCGATGGAATTGTCTAAAAACCACAAAAGAAGTTCCTTGTGAGTACATTACTCCCTGGAAGAGAATTGTCTATCTAGGTCCACGATATCATGTATCCTTATATAATTGTTCCTCCCTATATTTGGAAAATTTTAAAGTTTCTTCCAAATGGTTGGAGGGTATAAAAAGTTCGGCCCGGCGAAACTTAGCTGTTTTGTTACTTGTTCCTTGCTCGAAATTTTAAACAATAGCATGAGAATTCGGTAGAAAGCCAAAATGATCAGAACAGATCTATCTTTTGTCTGCAGGCAAGTCAAGGTTGAAGATGGGCTATATCGGTCCACGATATCGTATAGCCCCCATATAACTGTACCTCCCGATATTTGGTATTTTTATGATGGTAGCCAAATCTTTCAATGAAATTGTCTCAAAATCCACACCAGGAGTACCTTGTGAGTACTTTACCCACTGGAAGAGAATTGTCTACATAGGTCCATTCGGTATTTTGATGATATTAGCAAAATTCTTCAACTGAATGTTTAAAATTTCGTAGTTGACAAAAAATACTTATGCAGGACCACGCCTTTGTGGTTGTTTTAATTTTTTGACCGATTTTTTTTCGAAATTTTTCAAGATCCTTCAAAATAGTGGAAATGGATTAAAAGTTCGGCCCGGCCGAATTTAGCTGCTTATTACTTGATTTTTTTTAATTTTTCACATTATATATATATATATATATATATATATATATATATATATATATATATATATATATATATATATATATATATTTTTTTTTTTTTTTTTTTTTTTTGGAATATCTAATAATTCCCCAATTTTGTGTCATTTTTCTTTCCAGTTTTCCACCCATTACACCATGTCACGCCAGTCCAGACTGGTGCTACTCCTACTCCTCTCAATAGGGGTATGTCATGTAGCCGTCTCCAGTACACCACATTCGTTGAATATCGTTCGCGATGCTATACCCGATGATCAGTTGGATTTGAATGATGACATATTGCCGGACGAACCGGTTAAACATGTCGAAGAACAACCACAACAACACATACGCATTTCAACACCCAAAGTTAAAGAAGTACCGATTGTATCGACGGCCAGCTCAAAGAGTGAAAGTTCTACGGCGGCTACAACACAAAAAACCCTTAGCGATAATACCATCAATGATTTGGTCGAAGCAGCTAAGCATTCGGAAGCTTTGTCCAAGGATGAAAGGTGGGTATTATTTCTATAATATTTGTACGTTTGAAAGAAAATTCTCTCAGTACAAATTACCAAGCAGATTTTACTGGAAACGTTATCGAATACACCTATTATTAAATTTCTTCTATTCATCTTTTCCAGATTCCAAAAACTCGTTGCCAAGAAGTTGAACAGTACCTCAAGCACTTCAACAACAACCACTACCGCTAAGCCAACTGAGGAGGCCTATGATGACAGCTATGATGACAATTATGATTACGATGATGAATACAATTATGACGAGACAACAGCAACACCCACCAAGAAGTCCAAGAACAAGGCCAAGATGACAACAGCTTTGCCAAAATTGCAAAAGAAACCGATTGAGACTAAAGTAATGAAGGGAGAAACCAAGGTGAGACAAAGAGAAATGCCTTTACTGAAGATCAGTTTCTCCAAATCTTAATAAGAAAAAAAAAGAAACCAATTTTTTAAAGGAACATCCAACTAAATCTAGTTTATCCCAGAAACCTGAAACCAACCCTCAGAAACCAGATGCTTCCACCACTCGGATTCTAGTTTTTGGAGATTTTACTTTTTAATTAAAACTCCCAGATTCTTACTTTACTGGATTCTCTCTCAATAGACAGCCTGAGTTTTAGGCCAGCAAAAACCTATACCTGATTTTAGTTCTCTAAACGCTTTTGTGTAGTCGAAGAGCGCCACCGGTCCACATTTGAAACTTTTCCCAGTATTAAGCGACTTTGTGTGGGCTTTTGAGCCAGCCAGCCATTTCGCCGAACCGAACACCGAGATTGTGTATCGAAAAAACTCGTTTATGTCTGGAGTAGGAAACAAAGAATGATCAAAGAATTTCATGGAATTTATATTTGTGACCCACACCATCTAGGATGACACTTATGAAGATTTCCAGCTCAGAATCGCTTATATCGAATTATCCAACTTATTTTATTGGATATAAGCGATTCTGAGCTGGAAACCCTCAAAGCGACATCCTAATTGGGTGGGTCACAAATATAAATTCCATGAAATTCTTTGATCATTCTTTGTTTCCTACTCCAGACATAAACGAGTTTTTTCGATACACAATCTCGGTGTTCGGTTCGGCGAAATGGCTGGCTGGCTCAAAAGCCCAGACATGGCCGAATTTTTTCGATATAAAATCTCGGTGTTCGATTCGGCGAAATGACAAATTGTGGTATCATAAAATTACCAATAGCAGTCCAGTTTTCTAAAAATACTCTCCCTCTCTGCTGACGGATTACAGTTCGCTACTCTCCTACCAAACTATCAAATTCGTTAGAATTATTTTTCAGCGATGCAGGATTCCTTTTCCGATGTATCACCGATTTTGAATTACTTACGATTCTCAGCTGAAGACCTTGTTGAGTGACAACTAGAATGGTGTAGATCGCAAATATAAATTTCGTGAAATTCTTTGGTCAAAAATTCGGCCAAAAACTCCGATTTCGATTCTATATCCAAACGTATTCATCATATATGTAGATCCGAGTTCTCTGGTCAGTTCGTTCATCAGAGAACGAGTTCTCAGTCAATTTTCAAGTAAGATCTATATGCGAATACCCTACAACATCAGTTATCTGAAAAATGTATCTCTTCACAAAAATCTATATCAAATAGAAGAAATTATTCTTACCAAAGATAACTAAGCGAAAAGAAAAATCCGACAAATAGACAGAAATCGATACAAAAAAATCAGAATTTGTCAATTTTTTTTGATTTTTATTCAAAGTTCCAAGCATCTGTTTTAAATGTCTGAATTCTAATATCATTGTCAACATTGTTTACAGACCTCCACCGCCAAGCCTGCGCTCGAAGACAACAACAAAGAATCGAATACCATTGAATTCCACGATGACAACATTTTGAATGCTAACGAGCAAGACGACGATGAAGATGATGATGACAATTACGATGACGAAGATGATGATGATGACGATTTCGACAATGACAACGACATTAATGACGATGATGATACTAACTATACCGATAGTGTACCCTGCCCCCGCTATTGTGTCTGTGAACGTAATGTCAACAGCTACTTGGTGGCCTATTGTAGCCGGTAAGTTCCAACATTTCTGGGTTGCAAAATTCTTTTTTAAATACCGTTTTGTTTTCTTGGTCTATTTCCAGCATTGACACTGGTACCCAGAAATTCGGCAAAGATATTACCGATTTGGTTGTCACCGATGTTGGACCCAAATATCCCATACTCTTGGGACCAGAGTTCTTTGTGCAGCTGGGCTTGAAACGTGTCTCCTCAATTAAGATTTCCAACTGTACCATTGAATATTTGCATCCCGATGCCTTCAAGGGTTTGGACGATTTGTACTCCGTTAATCTGACCAATGTTGGTTTGGCCATTATCAATCCCGATACCTTTGCCAACAACAAGAAATTGCGCATGTTGGCCATTACAGGCAATGATTTGAGTGTTATGTCCAGTGTCCATTATTTGCTGAAGGTAAGCAAAACAAATATTTGTAATCAAAATCGATTTAATTCGTCGTGTTCCTCATTCCTCCAGTCCTCCAGCATTGAAGAATTGGATTTGTCACGCAACAATTTAATGGAATTGAACCCCAATGCCTTCAGCCAGCTATCCAATGTAGTTTACATCAACTTGTCGCAAAACAACTTGCAAAAGATTCCCGATCATGTGTTCGACACCGTTCAGACCATCGAAGAATTGGACTTGTCCTATAACTCGTTGAAGACCCTGCCTCCCGGTATCTTCAACAGCACCGCCTTGGCAATTTTGCACTTGAAATACAACTCCATCTCAAATGATTTGCGTTTTGGTACCTCGGACTTGCAACAGCTGGACTTGAGCTTCAATCAAATTCACACCATCCACCATGGCATGTTCGACAAAATGACCAGCTTGACCAATTTGATCTTGAAAGGCAATGGTCTGACCAAAATCCAAGCTGATTCCTTCTTGACCCTCAAGAATTTGCGTCACATTGATTTGTCCATCAATGAATTGGAACAGGTGTCGAGCATGATGTTCTACAAGAATTCCGAATTGGATGTCATCCGTTTGAACGACAATCCCCGTTTGAGCCAGTTGCCCACCGATGGTTTCCGCAGCTACAATGGCTATTTCACCGTCTATTACTTTGACGTTTCCAATTGTGCCATTAGCTCCTTGGGCCACAGAACCTTCTCGACCATGCCTCATTTAGCCACCCTGAAATTGGCCTGGAACAACATCAATAATTTGGATCATGATACCTTTGCCAGTTTGAAGAAGTTGGTTGATTTGGATTTGAGCAATAACCTGATTGCCAAATTGGATGAGTTGATCTTCACCTACAACAACGATTTGGCCAAGTTGAATTTGGCCGGCAATCCCATACACAAATTGTCTGTACGCCTATTCTTGCCATTGAATAAGTTACGCGAATTGGATGTAAGCGATTGTGAACTGAAGACCTTGTTGAGTGATAACCAATATGGTGTGGGTCGCAAATATAAATTCTATGAAACTCTGCGCTCGTTCAATGTCTCCTCCAATCAAATCCACAAAATCCATTCCAGTGATGTGCGTCAATTCAAGAACCTCAGAAGTTTGGACATTTCCATGAATCCCCTGAAGTGTAATGAAGATTTCCAAGATTTCATCAGCTATGTATCGCTCAACACGCAAATGATGCCACACAAGGTGTTGAGTTTGGAGAATTTGGACAGTGACTCGACTGTGTTGCAGCATCAAGCTCAGGATGGCTGGTCCGCTTTGGCGCATGAGGTGTGCAAACACGAAGATTTCTCACACAAAAAGCATTTGGGCGATAACAAGATCGAAGAACGTTTGGATGAGAATGAAAAGGACTTAGAAGAAGATGCCAAGAATCTTTTAAGCATTATGGAAAAGAAACGTTTGGATAAGATTATGAGAGATTCGCGTAAATCTTTCCATGATGTTAAAGTTGAAGATTTCCCTAAGGCCGACAAAGAAAAGGATGCTGATGATAACAACGATGATGATTATGTCTACGATGATGAAGATGACAATAATAATGATGAAGACGACATCGATGAAAGCGAAGACGAAGAAGACGATGATGATGATGAATCCTATGATGTTTACAATAAGAAGGCGGACATTTCAAAGGACATCAAGGATCATGGCATTCGTGTTGAAGAGGTTGATTTGGAAAAGGAAACCCTGGATGAACGTTTGTTGAGTAAGTTTTTGGGTAGCATTTTCTCTTTGAAATTAAATGGAGTAGAATGAGGGGAGTGGAGAGGCCTTTAAGGACTTCTGTGGACAATAAATCGTATATAATTTTTAAAATATGTAATGGGAGTTACCGTTGTATTCGGGTCTATACGAAGATATGGACCTGCATAGCATTTTTTTCACAGGCCATTAGAATATCCAAATACGAAATTTGAAACAATTCCGGTGGAAAGAGTCGCTAAAATCATCAAAATACCGAATATAGGAAGATACCTTTATGAAGGAGCTACGAAGAAGTGGACATGTATAGGCATTATTCTGTCACAGAACTTTGAATACGAAATTTAGAACGATTCCGGCGAATAACGTCGCTAAAATCGTCAAAATACCTAGTATAGGGAGGTACAGTTATAGGGGGACTATATCAAAACTCAGAGCGTTGACAGTTCAATGCAGGGATGTTTCTTACATTATGGGAACGCATACTGCCAATTTACAGTAAATTTGATTTAAAATTCGGACGTAAACACCCAAAAGCCAGTAAAGAAAGTCTCAAAGTCAGGCGGGACCGTCGAATTGGTCACCTTTGGTACGAATTATGGCCTTCAAACGGCCAATGAAACCGTCACACGCTGCCCGAATGTTGCTCTGCGGTATTTTGGTCCATTCCCGGCGAATCTCTTGCTTGAGGTGATCGACACAATGGTATTTTTTAGCACCAACCTTGCTTTCCAAAATACTCCAGATACTCAATAGACCAACGGATTGGTATCCGGAGATTTTGATGGCCATTGTGCGCTGGCAATGAAGCGAGGAACCTCATTTTGTAACCATTCTTGGGTGGAGCGTGCTGAGTGCGATGGTGCTGAGTCCTGTTAGAATATCCAAGGTCTACGGCCAAAATGTTTGCGGGCCCAAGGCTTTAATACATCCTCCAGAATATTTTCACGATAATATTCGGCATTTATTCTGATGCCACGGTCGAGAGGTCGCGGAGAGCGACCATCGGCTGTTATGGCGGACCACACCATCACCATGGTCGGCGCTTGAGTTTTGGTGGATAACCGAAGGTGCACATTTTCAGCTGACCTCTTTGGCAAGTAAACACAATCATTTTGTTTGTTTACAAACTGCTGGGCAACGAATGTTTTCTCATCGGAGAAAACCAAATTCGGCAGTTCACCACTTTCGGCCAAGCGAAGCAACTCTTTTAATTGTCTTTTACAGACAGAATACCTATTTGCGGGTAGATATATTTCAGGTTCTTCTTTTTACAGAAGAACTATAGATCAACCCAGTTGACACGCCTGCTATGAATACAAGACCTTTCACAGTTCTAAAATTGATGGGAGACCTTCTTGAAGTCTGCTTGAAAAAAAAGGAAAAAATGTTACATCGGATCCTTAACATTTCTATATTATATTTTAAATATTTTATTTTTAATTACTTTATATTTTTTTAATTTTAAATATTTTATTTTAAACTAAAATTATTCTTCTCTCTTCCCCCACTTTAGACAAATTCAAGATTCTCAATGCCAAGCGCAAACAATACAGCGAAGAAGATGATGACAAGGATGACGACGAAGATGATGATGACGATGAATATGAAGAACGTTTTATCGAACGCGGTCGTATCTACTATGGAGGTTACAGCTTCTTTGTGCCAGTCATTATTATTGTTACTTGTGTGCTGATCATCCTTTTGGCCATTGCCAAGATTGTATCGATGATTATGCGTAAACGTGGCGAACGTTATCGTATGTCATTGTTGCAGGCTCGCAATAATTCCATTGTCTATCAGAAGCTTTCAGAGGATATTGTGCCACCCAAAGAGCCAAAACAACCCAAAGTACATCGATATGCACCGATTAGCAGTGCCTAAAAGAAAAAAAAAACAAATGGGGAACAAATGTTAAACAATAGGCTTGAGAGACTCTAAAACAAGACAAGAAGAACTAATGTGAGCAGTAGCCGAAACTTTTCCAACAGAGGTTTAGAGTTTTTTTTTTTTAATTTTTATTTGTAGATTTATTCTTACAAAAAAAAGACAACACTATTTTTTTTATTAAATTAAAGTATTTTACAGCTCATGTTAGCATTTCCAGGGAGAAAGTAAAATCCCACACCCAAATTTCCACTTACTTTTTTTTTTTTTGATTTTGTTTGAGCTACTAAAAAAAAACTTTGATGAGAGTTTATATTAGCGTTTATATATAAATAATATTTTATAAAACAAAAAAAAAACATTACCATACATAAATTAAATAATTAATTTGTAATAAGTTAAGATTGAGTTATTAACTATTTCCAAGAGAATTCCAAGAAAGAAACAAACTGAATAAAATACACAAAAATCAACACCAACACAAAGACACGTCTATTTCCCTTATTCCATAAACTTTAAAAAGAGAATAAAATAAAATAGTTTCATTCTGGCAAAAAGGCTTAAAATAAACGTTTTTTTAGGTAGGGATCTGTTTCTGTATGACGAACGAAGAACCTAATTCCAAATGGGAATTTTAAACACTCTTTCCATTATTGTCGGAGTAGAGAAACAGATGCTAAAACACAACTCAGAATAAATCTAGAGTTTTTGAACAGAATAACAATTAGGAAATGAAGTCATTATACAAAAATTGAGTTCTTCGCCATTTTAGGACGGTACACCACCAACCTAGGTACACCAATTCTCTTGGGTACACTTTGTTTCCGAAACACATCGAACTTAAAAATCGCTTATTCGACAGTCGATTATACCAATCAAAGAAATTTTTTGCACAACATAGTATTAACATTCCCCGTTAACTTTCAATAACACCCTCCACACAAACCGATTCCCCAAACTTCACCCATAGTATTAGATTTTCTCAATAAAATTCCAATTTCATTCTGAATAAAACCACTTTCCTATTTCTTTGTATAGCTAATGATGGTCCCCCAAAAAATTGGTTAACCCCCCACCACATAATTCGTACTTAGTTCATTTTATTTCATTTTGTTGTTTCCGGACAAAATGTTCTTTAAAGTGAACCAGTTTTCATATTATTTCAACATTTTATTGAAAAAAATCTATAAATCCACGATATAAATAGAAAATTAAACTAAAAATGCATTTAGTCTCCAATAGACACTTGAGTTGTTGTACCACCAAAATTTTTTGCTTCCAAGTGCCATTTGTTTTGGTTGGTAGTCAAATATCACTTCAAATCAAATTATCTAAAAATGTAAAACAAATAACTTCAAATCTTTAATTAACCCTAAAAATCTATTATTATTCTTTACAGACACCAAAAAAACGTTCTCTGAATGTTCTGTATATTTATTCTTTTCAGTTCTGTAAAACTTTAAATTTCTATATTTTACTAAAAATATAAGAGGGTACATAAAAGAAGCAAGTTCAACAACAAAAAGTTAAACATTAAAATCTAACAAAAGCTAAAATTTTCTGTTTTTCTGCCTTTTACTGATTGGACATAACCAGTTCTAATTTTTTGCAGTGATTTTTTTAAATAATGTTATGGCAAAAAGGTAAAATCTATATATTCTGATGGTGGCACACTAATTTTTTATTATTTTTCTTTTTTTGTCTCAGTCTTGTACCCTCTTTCATATTGTTTTCAAAACATGCTTCATCATCGTCAGATTTCAAATATTTTGTTTATTTTTTTTTTCTGTATAAATTTGTATTTTCTCTTTATTTGCACAGTTATTTACATTGATAATATAATTTTAAAAAAATCTAATAAAATATCCCTTTACGTATCCCCCTAGTTATTAATATTATCTAAAATGTCTGCAAATATCATATATCAGATACATACATATATTATTTTACTATTAATTTTTTATAGTAGTTATATTGCTTTTTGGAAGCCTTTAAATTTAAATTGTTTTGTTTACAATGGACAAAAAATAACTATTAAATTTTTAAAATAAACAATAAAGTGTAACATAATTTAACTTCCAAAAAGTTTAAATCCAAGTGTTTTATTTTTTAAACATGGAAAAGGGAAAGTAAGTAATTATGTTTTATTATATATTTGAGTGAACATGAGCGTTTTGTTAAAAATAATTTAAAAAAGTTTATATCTCCCAAATGTCTTTTAATACCGGTTTAGTATCATTGATGAACCTGTGTGCTTTCGTATTTTCTTTTAATAACAGTTCGTGTTAGGCCTCTTTGTTAATCAAAATACAAAATTTATTCAGTTTGACAGAAGCCTTTAATCAAAACTTCATGCATCGTGCCAAACTTTCAGACTTTCAAGGTTTTATATATTATTCAGGTTTAGGGAAATATCTAACCTTTATACCAAAAGTCTTTAAAATCTGTTCTTTAGAAATTTACCGAGGATTATATAAGAATTATATTACAATTTTTCTTTCCACAACTATTTCAATTTCTCCATATGTAACCACAGAAACAAACAGTGACATCTATATCAAATTTCACAATCTATGCTATTACTTTATCCAATACTAAATTTAGTTCTTTTCGTACAATTACTTAACACATTTCCAAAACCTATCGGAGATACCAAAAGAGAACTCAATATCAAATTTCGGGATTACAGCACTATTCCTTCACCCAATACCAAATGTAGTACCACTTAGTACTTTTCGAGCGATTATAGTACACCTTTCCAAAACTGCCTTCGTATCTTAACCGTAGTTAGTACTTCTTAGTACTTTTCGAACGATTATTGTACACATTTCCAAACCACCTCCAACGGTAACATCTATATCAAATATCAGAATTTCAACTCTATTCCTTTACCAAATACCAAAATTAGTATCATTTCGTCTTTTGTTGTACAATTATATCATACATTTCCAAAATTACCTCTGTATCTCAATTTCAGAATTCCAGCCCTTCACTCAATACCAAATTAAGTACGTTTCGTACAATTATAGTGGTACTTGTGTACTTGTAGTACACAGATCCAAAAACACTTTTTTATCACAAATCTACCAGCAAAAGGGCCCCATATACAAAATTTTAAAATTTCAGCTTTATCTGTTCACCCTAACCAAACAGTTCCCAATTTATCACCGTTTAGTACAGTTCGCGCATATCTCCAAACCACCTTCATATAGCAAACGTATTTTCCAACCTTGATTCTCTTGCCAAATTTCAAGATGTTGGCTCCATCCGATCACTTAGTTAGCCCCTTCTTTCGAACTTTCGTAACCTTGAAGTTCGAAAATACCCTTTGGTATATCTATCCTGCAAAATTCAAAATTCTAGCTCATTCCGTTTGTCTAACACAAACTATTAAATTATTGGTACATTTTAGTACTTTTCGTATCCGTTTTCTATGAATTTTCAAATATCCAGCCTTATGATGGAAAGTTTTAATATTTTAACTTCAGCCGTTTCGTCTGGGTTTGGATGGTAAATCTGTCAGTCAGTCAATTATTTCACTACTCTTTTACATCAAAAACAACTTCTTGTTAACTTTATGATTATTTTTTTATTGTTTAAACGTTATAAAGATTTTCAATTAACAATATACTTATAAGACCATAAGCAATATATAATTAACATATAGTAACAATTTATATATTTACAATATCATAAAATGTTCAGAATTTTAAGTTAATACGTATTTTAACTTAAGTCTGAAATTTGTACTATTTCATTTGTTCCTGCACTATTGATTTTCGTTGTTTGCAATTTGTATAAATTGTTTTATATAAAATAGAAATACGCATATTTCTTATTCACGACCGTTTGCAATCAAATTAAGTTAATTTTTTTCTGCATCAATACTTTTCTATTACATTATCTAGTTTAAAACGAGAATGTTGCTGACAAATCGATCGATAAATTAAATCATTAAAACGATTATTGAATTTAGGACAAGTCTGTTAAAAATCCTTCATTTTGTATTAAAAAAACATAATTTTTAACATATTGTATATTAATATATTAATTTATATCACAGCTACTATGTATGTGAAATAACAAGGAACTCTTATCACAGTACAGTCTCAATAAATTAAAACAGTAAATGATTTTGTTGTTCTACATTAATAACAAATAAATATTTAGTTTATAGGAAAAAAGTCATTAAAACTATAAATAATAAAAATAAATTTAATAATACATAATAATAAAAATAAAAATACAATGTTAGTTTTAAATGTAACGTTCAAACGTCGATCTCTCGAAACCTTCGGATATGAATAGCTGTTGATGAAACATTTTCTGAAATCGTTCATTCTCTTCTTTTTCGTGGATTTCTTCACCAATATCTTGCCACATCATTTCAAAATCATGCATATCACCAGCGAAATAATCATTATCATAGTCTATCTCATTATCATCATCATCGAAAGTAAATGATAATTCATATGCGGCCATTTTTGATTGGTTTATGATCTGAAAAAAAAAAAAACAAGAATGAAATGGCATAATTTAAGAATACCATTAAAAAGGGTTATAATTTAGGCGTCATATTTTGTATATTGTTTTTTTAATTTACAAGAATTACAAAAAAAATAATTAGAGAAACATAACCTGCTTCAAAGATGCATTTTTCCAATTTCTTTGATGTGCCCTCACAACTATTAATTTTACATATTTTCCGTAAAAAACGCAAAGTATGCAACACTTTCACTCTTCACTTATTATCTCTTTGCTTTCTTTTCTCAATTTCGTTCTCTCTGTTTATTTACTTTTACCAGCTGGGCCAAAGATCCATTCGTGTTATCACCCACATCAAATGGAACGTAACCGGCTGATCGTCCATGCACACTTTTGGATTGCAGACAACCATCGCAGAAGTAAACATTAGTCTAGACAAAACAGCCGGTCAATCCAGTCAGTATGTCACGAAAGAATGTTTTGAATTTATTAAATAGTGTTGTTGGTAGCACGTAAGTCGGGTATCTAATTTGGTAAACTCATTTTAATAAAAAAAATTTGATTCCTAACTAGATGCAAATGTCCAGCACATGCAAGCGGATATGGATCCAGTGTGGCAGCTGCTCAAACTGGCAAAATGGAGTACGCATTTGAGGTTGGTTGTTGCAAATAAAAGATCCAAATCTTGAATGGAAAAATACGCACCAAAAGTAGACATGCATAGTTGTTTGAAGATAACATCTTAGTTGGACTTTGATCCATGGACTGGTTGTCTACGTCAGTGGTTTTCGACTGAGAATTATGTTTTTCTTTGGTGTTCTCATACAAAAACGGACTACAAAAATTCCGAAAAAGAAAGATTCCAAGATATATACAATGGGATCTACTTTCACATTCAGATTCGAAAAGATAAGGAAATGTCGCCAGTACTGTTTTAGCTATACATTTCCGAGACTACGCTCTATTAACGGCGTTGATATAAATTACGCGGATTACTTGTTCGCTCGCACGATCGTCTGGATCCATCGTTGATGTCATTTGTGGTTAATTTCGATCCACAACAAAACAAGTGTCCCAGGGAGCACAATCAGTAGCCTGTTTAGGTCGTCCGCGCATGATTCCACTATCTGCAATAAGATCCTGACAAAGGAACCATGTTTTCAAATTTGGGTCATCTCATATTTCCTCCCCGAAGAGAACATTCAATTAATTTAATATTAGCTTCCATACATAATGTTTTCGGACTTAATGCAAAATATGAATGTCAGTCCCATCAAGATAAATCTTTGTATCTACCTAGTTTAATCTTGATTAGGACATAATTCAGTCTACAAAGCCCTTTATTCTTTCCTATCGGTACTTATTTTTCCAATTCAATTAGATTCAAGATATTTCTATTTATCTACTATACTTAATTTAGAGTTTCTGTTTCCATTTCATTGCACCTTCCTTATTGTAGATGTCCTCGTCAACGGTGCGCTTTGGACCTGGTGTCAGCGCCGAACTTGGAGCTGATCTCCGTAATGCGGGCACCAAAAACGTTGCTGTGATCACTGATCGGAATGTGGTTAAACTTGCAAGCGTTAAGACAGCTTTCGAATCCCTAAAAAAATATGGCATCGAATTTGATGTTTATGATCAAACTCGTGTAGAACCAACCGATAAGAGCTTAAGAAATGCTGTTAAATTTGCGCGTTCCAAGGATTTTGATTGTTTTGTGGCCATTGGTGGTGGTTCCGTCATTGATACATGTAAAGCCGCTAATCTGTATTCCTGTGATAATGAGGCGGACTTTTTGGATTACGTCAATAAGCCCATTGGCAAGGGCAAAGAGGTAAATGTTGCGCTGAAACCTTTAATAGCTTTGCCGACTACAAGTGGAACGGGATCAGAATCAACTGGGGCTATTATTTTCGATTACAAGAAATTGCATTGTAAAACTGGTATCTCAAGCAAATATTTGAGACCCAAAATGGGTAAGTTTAGGAAGGTATATGTAGACAATTTATTCGAATAAAAAACATTTATTTTTCTTCCAGCTCTAATCGATCCCTTGCATGCCCTATCACAACCGGAACGAGTAACCGCCTACAGTGGCTTCGATGTGTTTTGCCATGCCCTGGAAAGTTTCACAGCCATTGATTATAGAGAACGTGAAATGCCCACCGATCCAAGTTTAAGACCTGTCTACCAGGGACGCAATCCCATTTCAGATGTTTGGGCCCGCTTTGCCCTAAACACGATACGAGAAAATTTCATCGATGCCATTTATCAGCCAGAAAATTTAAATGCACGTTCCAAAATGCATTTAGCATCCACAATGGCTGGTGTTGGTTTCGGCAATGCCGGTGTCCACTTGCCACATGGTCTGTCCTACCCAATATCGGGTCGTGTGCGTTCCTTCAGTCCCAATGGCTATGACAAAGATCATCCCATTATACCGCATGGTTTGTCGGTGGTAATAACAGCGCCAGCTGTATTTGAATTCATCGCTCCCGCTATTCCCGAACGCCATTTAGAAGCGGCCCAACTATTGGGTGCTGATATAAGTCAAGCCAAAAAAGCCGACGCTGGACGTATTTTAGGTGATTGCATTCGTGGCTATATGCAAAAAGCTGGCATTGAAAATGGCCTTAAGGGTCTGGGTTTCAACTCAAGCGACATTCCCGATTTAGTTGAGGGAGCATTGCCACAACAACGTGTCTTAAAGTTGGCTCCATTCGAACAGACTCGTGATAACTTAGCAACAATTTTGGAAAATTCTTTGGAAGTTTATTAGTTAACTCACCGTTTGTTTGGAAATGTGTATCACTGATTGCAATAAAGATTAGTTTTTGAATTTGTTGATTTCTTTTGTAGACGAAATGAGTTATGCCAGGTGTTTTAATGTAAATTATAACGGCATTTATAATTCTTTTCTGTTGGAAGAGTGTTGCCACGTTCTATTATAACTCCGAAATGTATTATAAATAAAATACAGTCTACATCGGATAAATGCAATTACTTGAGTTAGCAATAAATCGGGTTTGATAGATAAGTAATCTTTGGTACAGTTTTTAATCACCTGGGAATATGTAAGATACATTTCGAGACTATATGCACAGTCAAGATTTTTTTTTAATTCAGGAGAGAATATCCACCTTTTCCTAGATATGCGTCTTTACGACAGTCCCAAAATTGGCTAAGCGTACATAATTTAAAAAATCAGCCATGAGATTGTCGGGATTCAACACCATCTACCAAGGGCAGGTCGAAACGGCAAAGGGTAAACATTTCTCTTTTGTTCATAAAACTTAAATAATCAGATTAAATCTACACCCGTAGATTGAAAGAGCTATGTTACAGCCAGAGAGTTTTATAGATTGAACAGTGAAAGTGAGGTCTTACAAAAATAATTTTTAATCCAAATAACTTTTCAATATCTTTTATTCGTTTTTTGTGTATGTCTCCTATAGAGATAAGTCTTTTAAAAGGTTCGAAAGTCTGATCGTCGAAGTTCTGCCATAGAAAGATGATCTTCGTCAAAAACCTTTTACAAGTGTTCTATTCATATAGCTGTTCTACAAAGGGTATATTAGTTAAATGACTTCTTTACGGAGAAGAACAATCAAAGAGGACCTTTTAAAGGAATTTAATAAAGACAACACCTTTTAAATGTTTTCTGTAAAGAAGGCCATTTAAGAAAATGTTTTCTCTCTAGAGATCTCTTACAAGGAAAGAGACCTGAGAGAATATGTTTTACAGGTATTCAAAAAATAAAAGACCTTTTGAGATGTTTTCTATGGAGGGATGACATCTGGAGATCTTATAGAGAGAGAAAAGTTTTTCTGCAGAGACAAAACCATGCTGAGATTTACTACAATAAGCAGATATATTAGATACAACATTGTTGTGAGGTCTAAGGAGAGAAAAGATATTTTAGAGTTCTTATTCTGAAAGAACAGAGGAGGGAATATAAAAAGCAAATACTGTTAGAAGGAAAGACAAACAATTTAAAATACCTAAAATCGGTTGGGAAATCAAGTGAACCAACCACTAATGGACAAAAAAAGGCAAATTGCGGACACTTTGCTTAAACAAAAGATGTTACAAAATTAGTAGTTCTCGGATAATGTCTTTGCTAATTTTTCAAACTTTATTTTAACATCGCAGGCTCCAAATCTTCTAACAAAATCAATATCTTGATTGTAATAAGGTAATAATAAATAAAAACACATTTTTTAATTTTTAAAACATTTTAATGTTTCCTCTGCTTTGTAATAACTTATGAAAGAAATGTTAAAAATAAAATCATTGCCTCAATTTCGCATGAATTTCAAAAGAGAATCATCTAATCCATTTATTCGATTATCGTGTGTATCGACCAATACCAATTCCTGCCTTAGTGATGTAAATGGTGATGATGATGCACAGGGTGATGAATTGGGTGGTGAACAATGACGGGATGGTGTACCACCACTGGAACATGGACAACCTCAGCTTTGTGCACAACTACCGGTTTGTGCACAACCACTGGCTTATGAACAACAACTGGCTTGTGGACAACTACGGGATGATGTTCTACAACAGCTACGGAATGATGGTGGTGATGTAAATGTCCAGGTGCGGCAAAGGTAACGGCCAGCAGGGCAAGGAAAACAAAGCAAAATACATTGGAGAAATAAGAAGACATTTTTCTTGAGTTTGTTTTCCTTGCTGATGAATTGCCACTGAGAGTGTTGAAGAAGAACTGATGATGTTTTGGAAGATATTCAAGAATATTTATAGTTAAATTTTTAAAAGAAGCCAATTTGTTCAACACATTTTAACGGCAATGTGAAAAAAAAAACTTTTTACAAATTCTTGTCTTCCTCTACCACTATAAGCCATGCAACGGAAACAAAATTTGTACAAATACTGTTTGTGGTTTTACCAAACATTTTCAGCAAAGTTGAAGGCCTCAGCGATTTGTGTAAATAACGGACAATTTTGTTTGTGGTTTGTAAATTGTTTTTAATATATTACAAAAATATACTTCTTCAATTACACTAGAATTCTTATAAACAAATTACTTTAAAAACTATAAATATATTACGTCTATGTATCAGCAGGGTTTGGCTATTTCATTTTCTACTTGTATAGCTGGACATTTCTTAAGGGTTTTGGAAAATTTCTTATCAAACTTCTTTTGTTGTTTCTCACTTAGCTCTTCTAAGGCCAGTTTGCTTTTGTATTTCTTAAGCAATTTCTTTTTTAGTTTTTCCAAGGCAATTCCCTCGGCATTTTTGGCCACAAGTTTCTCTAAAACAGTGGACCATTGGAATTCCTCCGATTCTTCTATTGTTTCAGCATTGCCATTTTCTGCTACTTCTTCCACTTGTTCGCTACTTTCAGACTTTTTCTTTTTTTTATTTTTCTCAACACTATCTACGCCATTGGTTTCCTCCTCAGCCTTCCGTTTATTGCCATTTTGTTGCGGCTGAGCTGCTTCCTTTGCCTTTTTGGCTTCTTCCTGAGCCTTCTTGGCAGCAGCCATTTCTTCTTGTTTTGCCTTTTTCATATTTTCTAATTCTTTTTCCAAAACAGACCAAACCGGCTCTGCTTGTTTAGCTGGGACCCGCAAACAATTGGCCACGAAGTTTTGGAATTTAGCTTTCTTCCGTGGTACATTATCGTAATTTTGTAGCCGTTGGAATATGTTGCGCGTCTGTGTTGATAGATCGTATTCTTGGGAATTTAAAATTGAACGTACAATGTCCATCCAGGATTCTTGTTTCTTTTGTCCACTATTTAGGGATTCACGTGGCACAAAATTCTTGCCGGAATACTTTTCTAATTCGGTAATGCATTTAGTGTGGGCCACATACTCTTCGGCATGGAAATCTTTTTGACAGTCCATACAAGATACGTTTTTAACACGATTCCTGCATTTGGTGTTGTAATGCTTTTCCACGGCCGGTTTCTTTACGGACTCTCCACAATGATTGCAAGTAAAGAAGACCATTTTATTGTATTATTAATATAATAAAATATATTTTAAAATTCTAGAAAAAATGTCCAACTGAGAATTCCCGCACTCCCAAATATAAACAAATGCACGTGTGAGCGTAGAACAAAGTCAAACCAAAGCAACTGACGGCGCCAAATATATTTAGAAGAGAGAGAAAACAACTAGAGACTTGACACCACTTTTGTAAGAGAACAAGATTTATCGTACAACAAATGTGCTACAACCGTTCGATTTGAATGTAAATATGGGTAAAAAATTAATAAAAACGACCACTAAAAATTTTTGGGCAAAATTGGAATAAATATGCATTAATTTTGTCTTTTATTGCATAATCTACTTGAACTTGACTTCTCTTTTCTTAAGATACAGATTTGTAATACAATAACTGTGATGAATAAAATTATGGAAAATATTAAATATAATATCTATCTATACCGAGGGGTCGAATATTACTTCATAGGTACAAGTTATTCTTCCAGTGATTGGGAATATCATATAACGAGTATCGTCATAGTGATTACTGGGTCTCACCACTTCGACACTATTGCTTTGAACTTTTTTTCGATAACCTAACTGGGAAAATCGGCTATCGTAGTAAAAACTTTCACATTTTTGTAGATCTCCCGGGAGATTTCTTTCTTCAGCCAGACCACTAATTTCCGAGGGTTTTTTTGTGGAAGTTTTTTAACTTATCGTTTTCACAGCAGAAATACATCAAAGAGCGGCACAGTTGAAATGGATCCTTCTGGAAATCCTAAATGACTGTCGCTGATTATTTCCTGGGGTCAACTATATCAATGAAGATGGGCAATATCTCGGCTGTCCTTGGGGCTTTCCCTTTGGCTGGAGTCAGGAAATTTTCTCTTTACATCCTGGAAGTGAATTGTCTACAAAGGGCCACGATTTTGTATATCCCCCATACAACGGTATTATCCCCCATTACAACGGTATTCCCCCACGATATTCGGTATTTTGATGATTTTATCGACATTATTTACCGGAATTGTTTCAAATTTGGTATTTCAAATTCGTAGTGGATATTACTGCCTATGACAGAAAATCGTCTGTGCAGGTTCACGTCGCCGTATACCCTCCATATAGCGGTACCTCCCGATATTCGGTATTTTGCTGACTATAGCGCCTTTGTTCACCGAAATTGTTTCGAATTTGGTATTTGAAGTACGTAATGGATACTACAGCCTATGACAGAAAGTTGTCTGTGCAGGTCCACGTTTTGGTATAGCCCCCAGATAATGGTACCTCCCTATATTAGTTAGTTTGATGATTTTAGCTACATTATTCACCGATTTTTTCAAGTTTCGCATTTGAATATTGTAATGGTTTGGACAAAACTTGCCTATGCAGGTCCACATCGTCGTACAGACTCCAAATGCCCTCCACCATTTAGAACGAATTTGGCCCGGCCGAACTTACAGCTTTTTTACTTGTTCAAGTTGAACTAACCACTTCGGTGACAGAGAAATAATCCATTGGTGAGTTGGTTTACTTCGGTGTCGCAGAAAAATAAGTGAAAGAGTCTTGAAATCATGGGAGCTCGCCAGTAGTTACGGACTCTTTTTTGAATTTTGATATCCTCCTATTCATTTGAAATAGGCTATATCTTACTAACTACTACTACTACTAACTAACATTTCCGATATCATTTTACCGCTGTTACTGCCTTTCGATGTATAAATTTTATACATTTTATCAGACATTTATGGATTCATTCTTCCGATTAAGTTATTCGAAACTGTTTCACACAGCATGTTTGAATTTTTATCTTTGTCTATTCAGACTGTCGTTGATGGATGGGGAAGACTTCAAGGATTACTGTCCTTAAACCAAGTACTTGTCCTGGCTTGAGGACGTGGAGTTTGTGAGTGTCCATGTGTCATGTATTAATTGTTTACAATTATTTTTTAAGTGATAATTCGTATTATTCAGATTTCTAAACATCTAAAAAATAACAAAAACAACTTGATTTATGAACGAAATCTAACAATTGAATGAATTAAACACAGAACACAAACAAACAAACGTCACGTCAAATCAGATGCACTGCATCGATAATGGTCTAACGATACGTTGTAATTACCGATGATTTTCGTGTCTATTGTTTTTTTTTGTTTGTTTTTGAATCGCAGTTCAGTTCGATGTCTAATTTCAATTACCTAAACGTTATGTCGACTAAGATGTGATTTCGCTTGAAATAATTAAAACAGAGTTCTGCGGGAAAAATTTGAATGTAAACAAATGTTCAAGTCAGTAACAATTATTGCCAAAGCTCATTTTGAGGAAAATTTACAACTCAATTAGTGTTAAAGGGGAAAAAAGTGGATAGGAAACTCAACAACATATGTTGGTGGGCGGAATAGTGGAATGGTTTTCATTTGAATGTGAACAGTGTTTTTCGAATTTGTTTTGCATATATTGAAATATAGAAGATTAATAGGCCCTTATTTGTACAACACATACAAGGTGGCGCAAAAGTAATCCTCCTATAATAAAATGCTACAAATTTTACGATTGCCCCCTAATGTCAGTTCTGTTTTGACATTTTTGCAAAATACACGTTAAGATATCAGCTCTTCAACTTAAAGGGTGAAATAAATATGCAACAAAGTCAAACTCAATAATTTTTAAATTTTTATACCCTACAACACTATGTGTTGGGGGTATTATAAGTTTGATTGGGCCAGAATTTATGTAACACCTCGAAATATTGGTTTCCCATATAGGAAAGTATGTATGGATCTTCCTAGCTCGCCGAGCTGAGTCGATCTAGCTATGTATGTCCGTCCGTCCGTCTGTGCGTCTGTCCATGTTAATTTGTAATCACTCTACAGGTCGCAATTATGGCCCGATCCTAACGAAATTTTGCACGAAGGTGGGGTTAGGGTCAGAATAGAAGCCTATTTCTTTTGGAGATGATCGCCAAATGTTTAGGGGTTGAAATGGACCAAATACTGAAAAATTTAGGATTTTGCAGTAGCTATAGAGTCGCAATTATAGACCAATCGACGCGAAATTTCGCATGTAGCTAGAGTTTAGGGCGGGGAAGAAGCCTACCAATTTGGGTGGTCATCGGATAATATTTAGCGGGTAAAATAGACCATATTTTTTGTGTTGAAAAAAATTCAAAATCTTTCATTAAACCGCGAATATTTTAAAACCCCGCTAAATCACAAAGCCATGACAAGGTTACTCTTGATCTTTACATTGATGTTAACATCCAACAAATCGGATATATAGCAAAATATGTGCGATATATATGTCTATCAAAGAAGACTTTCATGAAAGATCTCTTATATGTCGAGAATGGCTGAACTGATTTCGAACTAAAGAAAAAACGTCTAAAAAATCGCATAAAAATATCTCTCTAAAGGTGAAAATATTGATTTTGTAACATGTTCTCATATTTTTTCAATTTTGTCATATTTTTGGCATATTTTCATTTTGAATTAAAAATTTGATAATATTTCTACAGCTAACAAAACTAAGTAGTTAGGATATCGGGATATCATATACAGATCGCATTTACGGCCCGATCCTTACGAAATTTTGCATGGGAATAAGATGTGGGTCAGAATAGAAGCCTTCTCTTTTTGGAGATGATCGCCATATATTTAGGGGTTGAAATGGACTAAAAAACTGCAAAATTGTCAGCAGGTAGTAATTATCGCCCGATCCTCACGCACATTTGAATGGGGGTTACCGGAAATTGCAAAAGCCAAGCAGTTTTGGATGGCTATCCAAAAATATTCAATGTGTGAAGGAGTTTGCCAACTTTTGTAGAAAAAATACGAATATGTTCATTCCAGTGACTTTTTGGAGAATTCACAAATACAGGAAAGACGCACTTCTGACTATTTTGTTAACGCTGATTTCATTGAAGAATATAGCCAAATGTCTGTATCTATATACATATAGATGCATTTCAGTCAAAAACCAATAATAAATGTTAATCTCCTGCCACTTTTGAGAGATTATAGGTCTTTGGGAAATATTGGTTCCAGATCTAGGAAGACCATTGGAAATGAGCAAATTAGTTTAAGTTGCTATTATTCGAAAATTAGAGAACGAAACCTGATGGTTTTCTTTTATTATTTGTCACAATATCTTGTGGAATTCTTTCGAGTATCTCGCCTATATAAACTGTATCGTTTATTATAGTGTTGTAGGGTATTTAACGGTCGGCCCCGCTCGACTGTAGCATTTGCTTACTTGTTTTAAATGTTATTGAATGAAAGCAAACAATGTGGGAAATAGCATCAAAATTTATAATTAGTTTGGATTGGTCACCTTTGGCACGAATTATGGCCTTCAAAGAGCCAATGAAACCTTCACATGCTGCGGTATTTTTCCGGATTCCCGGCGAAGCGTTTGCTAGAGGTGATCGACACTTTGGTATTTTTCAGTGCCAACCTTGCTTTCCAAAATCCTCCAGACACAATAGTCCAACAGATTGGTATCCGGATATTTTGTTGGCCATTGTGCGCTGGAAATGAAGCAAGGAACCTCATTTTGTAACCATTCTTGGGTGGCGCGGGCTGAGTGCAATGGTGCTAATATTCGGCATTTTTTCTGATGCCACGGTCGATTAAGAGCGACCATTGGCTGTTGTGGCGGCCCACACCATCACTATGGCCGGCGCTTGAGTTCTGGTGGTCAACCGAAGGTGCACACTTTCAGCTGACCTCTTTGGCAAGTTAACACGACCATTTTGTTTGTTTACAAACTACTGGACCCGGAATGTTTTCTCATCGGAGAAAATCAAATTCGGCAGTTCACCACTTTCGGCCAAGCGAAGCAACTCTTTAGCTTCTTTTACGTCTATTTTCTTTCTGTTGCAGTGTAAGTTCTTGCACTTTTTGGAATTTCAATGGCTTTACCCTGAGTCCATTTTTCAATATTTGCCGAATGGAATTTTGCGATATGTTCAGCTCACGTCACTGAAATAATTTTAACAGCTGTCGGACGAGTGGCATAGAGTCTGAAGTTGGTTGCAGTTTTTTCATCTCACCCTGTATACTTGGCGTAGTAGCCAAGTCCTTACCATGGCATATTATATTAACTCGTTCTATAAACGCCCTTTCGACAAAATTAACACTATGCAACACAGAAAACAATTATAGAAAAATTCAGATGATTATGAATAAGGAGCTAAAAATAGAAGACAAGTACGTCGGCGTTTTGAAAGTTTACTATAACATTTTTTTAAAAATTCGGATTAGGATTCCTTAGAATCCGGGAACATTACAGATAACAATACGAGTATTTTTTGACCAAAAAATTTTAACCCTCAAGCGAGTCATCAAAAAATGGAAAGCATTTTTCGCGTCAAAATATTCCACAAAGTTATTTCTGTCAGAAATTTTATCTTCTGTCGGAAGGTTGGATTGGGAAAGATGGATACAATCGTTCCAATGCCTAAAATCAGGGGTTATCTTTTAACAAGGGCTGTACCAAAACGTGAAACTACATTGGTATTTTTTTCTGGTAGCGTTTCTACTTAATAGGAACTCAGAAATCCAAAATTTGTTGAAATGAAAATATTACTAAAATGTAAAAAATATTTTAAATCGGTGTTTATCTATGTATAGAGTCTATACCAAACAAGTAAAAAAGGTTTAAGTTCGGCCTGGCCGAACTTTGAATACCCTCCACCATTTGGAACGAATTTGGTAATTCTCAAAAACAATAAAATCCGTTAAAAATTCTGTTAAAATCTTAAAAATACCGATTGTAGCTGTTGTATTAGGGCCTATATTGGTAACATTTGTCATAAGCCATTACAATATTCAAATGCGAAACTTAAAAAAATCGGTAATAATGTAGATAAAATCATCGAAATAAAGAATATCGGGAGGGGCTCTGCGAAGACGTGGATCTGCACAGACAATTTTCTGTCTTAGGCTGTAGCATGGTAGAAAAATACAGGTAGATGCATCAACGCTTGGGAGCATTGATCTGTCAAAATTTTTTAAATTTCTTTTCAAATATAAGTAGATTTTTAATTGTTTTCTTATACGACGTCATTCGGAGGATATTATAATACTCGTTTTTCAACAATTTTTACAAATTTAAATAATTTTTCATTCAACATTTTCAATTCCAAATTTGGTTTGACAGTTCACTGTCCTAGCAGCTGTGTCGATGCGTCTACCTATATTCTTCTACCATGGGCTGTAGTATCCATTACGAACATCAAATACCAAATTTGAAACAATTCCTGTGAATAATGTCGCTAAAATCATCAAAATACCGAATATTGGGAGGTACCGTTATATGGGGGCTATACCAAAACGTGGACCTACATAGCCCATTTTCAATACCAAAAGTTCTGCAGACATAACATACATTTGAGTAAAATTTTATCAATCTACTTCAATTCGTTCGGAAGCTAGAGTGATTTCCACAGACGGATAGACGGACGGACGGACATCGCTAAATCGACATAGAATTTTATATATATATATATATATATATATATATATATATATATATATATATATATATATATATATAAAGCGTTGAAACTGTTTGGCATAACAAAATTCTTCGGAATTTGGTTCTAAAAACCAAGTACTATTAAATCTACTTGGAATTTACCACAGCGAATTTGGAAAATGTTAAAATGTTAATTTGACGGAGGCATTTGATCCTCTCATACGAAATAATAGTACTTGCTTTTAGGCTAAATGTTGTCAGATATGGCAAAAAACAACCTATTTCGACGAATATTACACACACCGACTTCACACGAACGGCTAAGAGTTGGATAAAGCACTCATATATATCTTTATCCGATATCAGGTTTAATTTGGACCAAATGGAATGAATTTCTGGACGTACGTTTCCATTTTGTGGAACTCGGCTCCGATATATACTTTGTTAATATTATCCTTCTCGAAGTGATGTCATGCACTCTATAGCAATATTATTTGGTATAAAAGATTAAAAAGTCTCGTCAAATTTATTGAAAATCTATTCAGAATTGAATATACCTCCCATATGTATATTTGTTCTCTCTGAAATGAAAATATAACTGCTCTAAAGCTTGATAGGTGTGATCTACTTCAAAAAATTATTTTGTTTCGAGAGATTTAGACTTTTAACGCGTTTTGGGAGCTATGATACAATTTCATGACAAATTATTTGTAAAATATTTTATCTTGCTACATGTGCCTTTTAAATGCAGTTTTTTTTTATCCACATTTTGAAATAGAAGCAAAAAGATCCTTCATTCAAATCATATTTCGTTTCTTCTGTTTCGCTTCCTAACCACTGTGTAACGCACTACAGTTGTGTTGCAAATTTAAATGTTTTTGACAGATTTTCAATATCAGCGAACAGAAAGACAACATTTCGCCGATTTAAAGTGATTGCACTGAAAAAGATTTATGCTTACAATTATCCAACAAAATAGGCAATAATTTAAAGGAGAATTTTTCCAAATGAATTCACTATAAAAGTATTCAGTTTCAGACAGTTCGGGCAACAGTGCAAATTGTGTTTGAATCGTTAAAGCGAACTCATTTCCAATAACCAAGGATTGAAAGCAACACAGATTCGCCGATAAAATGAAATTCCTCAGCTTGTTTTTCATATTTGGTCTCCTGGCTGTAATTGCCAGCATGGGTTCGATGGTCGCTGGCGAACCATTGCCAAGTCCTCGCGGACGTCCAGCAACCACCACAAAACGTCCCAAGGCCGATAGTGATGGTGAGGCAGGTGCAGGTGATAGACGCTAGCTAGAATTGACGGCCGAGCGCCGGCAAACCGTATCCTGTACTAAGCCTCGTAAAGTAACGGATACTAAAATAACTGTTCATTGTTATGGACAGGAGAATTTACAAACTGTTGAAATTCTATTTAATTAATTGAATCAATTGAAATAAAATAAAATAAAAGCACAAATGCGAGAAACCAACAAAAATAACAACAAAAAATGGTGATTGTTGTAAATCGAGTCCTTTATTGTTTGGCTGTTTGAAAGTTAATTAATTTATTGATTAATTGCTGTTTAAGTTCATATAACAATGTAAATGGGTGGTGGTAAGTTTAATTGGTATTTGTGTCACATTTTATCATAAGGAATATTCTTAAGAAATAACAATGGGAAAAATATACTTAGAATTATTCCAAAAATATTGCAAAATATTCTAAAAATTATCATTTGTGCTCCGAAAAATAGTTTTTTTAAAACTGTAAAAATAGTTTGAATATGGTTCAAAACATATTTAAAAATTAATTTTTTCGAAACCTTTTATTCCTTTCGACCTGTGAAATCTATAATATTGTATAAACTAACCACTAAAGAACGTTAAGTTCGGCTGCTTCGACTATCAATACCCTCGGTTGGAGAATGCAGCTTAAGTTTTCAAAATACCACAAAGTGGGTGGTACCGTTTTATGGGCCGTTATATTACAACGTGAACCTACAGAGAACACTTTGAAGATTCATCAAGTGGAAAATGACGACAAAAAGATCAAAATACCGAATACTTAAAATGCCTCATATGGAGAGAATAAAGCCATCATGTTCGTCTATAAAGAAAAACCAGTAAAGAAAGGCTTAAAGTCGGGCGGGGCCGACTTTATGATACCCTACACCACTTTGACAATTTAGTAGAGCTCCGCACGCTATGATTATAAATTTAATTTAAAGTTCAAAGGACTAAATATGCCGAAGCATTTGTATATTTTAAATTCGGACTTGTATTGCCCATTTGGTGCACAATTAATTTGAAATCGGATAAAAATATATATGGGAGCTATATCCAAATCGGAACCGATCTCGATAAAATTTGGCAAAGATATTTCTGAGCTGTATTTGATATATTTCCCTGAGTATCGTTGTTATGGAGTGCATATTACGGCTGTGGGTAACAAATCGGATTAACAATATATATGGGAGCTATAACTATATCTGAACCGATCTTCACCAAATTTGGCATACTACCTTCTAGACTAAATTCGGTCGTGCCAAATTCCATCCCATTTGGACAAATATTAGACGTTTGGTGCACAATAAATGGTAAATCGGGCGAAGTTTTATATGGGAGCTATATCCAAATCTGAACCGATCTCGATAAAATTTGGCAAAGGTATTTCTGAGCTGCATTTGATATATTTCCCTAAATATTGTTGTTACAGAGTGCATATTACGGCTGCGGAGGACAAAAATAACAAATCGGATGAACAATATATATGGGAGCTATAGCTATATCTGAACCGATTTCGATAAAATTTGGCATACTTATTTTCAGGCCTAATTTGGTTGTATGTGCAAAATTCCATACTATTCGGGCTGATATTACACGTTTGGTGCACAATAAAAGGCAAATCGGACGAAGATATATATGGGAGCTATATCTAAATTTATACCGATTATCTCCAATTTCAATAGGGTTCGTCCTTGGGCCAAACAAATGTTGTTTGCAAAATTTCATCTCAATCGGATAATAAATGCGACCTGCATTTTGTTCACAAGAATACATGGACAGACGGACGGACAGACGGACTGACATGCATAAATCAACTCAGAAAGTGATTCTATGCAGATCATCAAAAGGAAGTATGGGTCTATCTCGTTTCCTTTTGCCTGTTACAAACAAATGCACAAAGACATAATACCCTGACCACCTTGTGGTGTAGGGTATAAAAAGTAAAGAAAGACGGGTCGACTTTATGATACCCTACACCCCTGTGCATATGTAGAGCTTCACATAACAAATAAAAGTTTTTATGGGTAATTTGTGTTTTTCTGAATTTGTGAGACTTAAATCATACCAACTATGATTATAGTTACAATTTAAAGTCGAAAGGAACTAATATATGAGAGGAATATTCTGCTCTGAATTTGCGCGACGCGGGTTTCGATCAAGATGCTTCTTTACTTTTCGAAACATTTCTGCTGATGTCGCTGTTTTCTTCCGTTCACTTCCTTGACGTCGGGCTACGCTAACAGTATCACGGCAACGAGTGATGGTACGAGACACCAAAGGTTTATTCACATTTAAATGCTGGAGTGTTCTAACGACAGCCACCTGTGGAAAATTCTCACCAAAATGCTTTTGTACGTTTGTAAACACTGGCACTAAAAATACCAAAGTGTCGATCGCCTTAAGCAAGCGCTTCGGCGGGAATGGGCCAAAATACATCAGAGCAACATGCGGGCAGCATGTGACGGTTTCATTGGCCGTTTGAGGGCCATAATTCGTGCCAAAGGTGACCAACTCGAACAAATCTAAACTTATTCTAAAATTTGATGCTATTTCCGACATTTTTTGCTTCCATTCATGTAAAAAATGTAAAAATAATGGCGTTTGGCTTTGTTGCAGTTTTTTTTTATCTCACCTTGTATATAGGAGATATATCTGAATTTAAACCGATTTTAAATACTTGCTTCTGGGCTAAATTCGATCAGATGTGCCGAAATCCATTACATTTGGAGGAGTATTACAGATATTGTGTACAATTAAGTTGAAAATATATCTGGGAACTATATCCAAATCTAAGCCGACATTCACCAAAATCTGCAGATTTACTTTAGGACTGAACTTATGTGCTAAAATTCATTTGATTCTGATATTACGCATTTGGTGCGCAATATTTTTAAAATCGGCCTATACTATTTATATGAGATATATCCATAGCTGATCCGATTATCAACAAACTCAATAGGATTCGTTCTTGGGCCAAACAAATGATTTGTGCAAAATTTCATCTCAATAGGACAATAAATACAACCAGTACTTTGTTTACAAAAATGCCTGGACAAACGGACAGCGGACGGACTTGCATAAATCGACTTAGGATGTGATTCTATGCGGATCATTAAAAGGAACTATGGGTCTATCTCGCTTTCTTCTCCATGTTACAAACAATTGCACAAAAACATAATACCCTTAGAGTATAGAAAGGGTATATAGGCCCTTCAAACATTTACAATGTCAATGTTAAAACCACATTAATATCACTAACAGTGTTCGGAGAATGATTAAAAATGTTTAGCATTCAACGGATCTCCGGGAAATATCACGTATATATGCCATCGTAATGTTTCCCAAAAAGAAACAATGTACCACTCTTATTTTTTCAGTTTTTTCTTTAAAACATCACCAGGATATTTTAAAAATTTTTCAACACTTCACATATATATCCCCCCAAAGATCCATATAAACATTATGAAAATATTTCACTTTTTTTGTAAAATGCAACCTCAAAATATTTTCATTATTATTTTTATTAGCACTAATAATAGACTTTCAACAAAAATTAAATTGATTAGCATGATTTTGAAATGAGCGAAGAAGCCCTTCAACTTAGTTTGGGTGAGACATGCAATGTGTTTTCAGCATGCAAGCCGACAATAATTTTTAATTGCCGATTTTGTTAGATATATTAGAACGAAAACAAAACAATTGTTCCATAGGTTATTCCCCTTGTATGTGGAAAATCCAGAGACCTTGCATGTACATATGTATAGTGTTTTTCTGTTTATATTGATAAATATGTGTGTAAATATATGGAGACAGCATTCGGTTTCTGAATTATAACAATTCAAAAATAGGCAAGTTATTTTTTAACTTTATTTGATTTGTTTTCTGTTGGGGAAAAACACGTTGGTTTAATCATTCTTTTGAAGAAGTAGATTTTCCACAATATTATGGGGTGATGGAATTCAAGCGTGATAGTGTGATTTCTTTATATTTGGCTGTAAAAACCACAAGTGGCTATCGTTAGAGAACTCCAGCATTAAAATGTGAATAAATCTTTTGTGTCTCCTACCATCGCTCGTTACCGTGATACTGGTAGCGTAGCCCGACGTCAAGGAAGCGGAAGGAAGGGAACAACATCAGCAGAAATGGTTCGAAAAGAAGCGATTTGATCGAAACCTGCGTCCAGTGGCCGAAAAATTGTTCGTGAGCTGAACATATCGCAATGTTCCATTCGGCAAATATTGAAAAATTAGCTCGGGGTAAAGTCATTGAAATTCCAAAAATTGCAAGAACTTACACCGCAAAAGAAAGAAATTGACTCAAAATAGCTAAAGAGTTGCTTCGCTTGGCCGAAATTGGTGAACTGTCGAATTTGGGTTTCTCCGATGAGAAAACATTCGTTGTCCAGCAGTTTGTAAACAAACAAAATGATCGTGTTTACTTGCCAAAGAGGTCACCTGAAAATGTGCACCTTCGGTTGGCCACCAGAACTCAAGCGCCGGCCATGGCGATGGTGTGGGCCGCCATAATAGCCGATGGTCACTCTCCGCTCGTATTAATCGACCGTGGCATCAGAATAAATGCCGAGTATTATCGCGAAAATATTCTGGCCGAAGACCTTGGACATTCCAACAGGACTCAGCACCATCGAAATTTTCGATTTCGAAATTTGTACTTAGGTGTACAAAAAGGACTACATTTGGAACAATTTCGATTTGGGTAAACCGATTGTAGGAATAAAGTGTGTAGGTAGCTTCGGAAATTTAGTAAAGTACTAAATAGTCCTAAATTTGGTACAATTTGGATTTTGGGATAACCGGTATAGTTGGAATTCTGAAATTTGGAAATAAGATTTCTATTGAATCATATGATGCAGGATGTTATGGACATTTGAACATATGTGTACTAAATGGTACTGAATTTGAAATTATTTGGTTTATTTTTGAAATGTTGAAATTACTATTATAGGGGTCCCTGTTGGTGGTAGGTTTGTGATAAATAGGTGGTTTTGGAAATGTGCACTACAAGTGTTTAAACAGTACTAAATAGTACTATATTTGGTATATTTTGGTATTGGGTGAACCTATAGTGTCTTAAATCTGAAACTTGGCATTAGGGTCGCTGTTCATGTGCAGCCTGGACATATGGCGGTGGTTTCGGAAATATGTACGAAACTACCACGAGAATGCACGAAAAGTAACAAATAGTACTCAATTTGATGTCGGATAATGGGATAGAGCTGAAACAGTGAAATGTTTAATTGCGATAATTGTTGGTATCTAAGATTGATATATAGAACAGTTTTACACATGGGTACAAAAATTTTAAGAAAAGTACTGAGGTGTA